ATAAATGTTTCTATTATGTTTTTTTTTTCTGTAATAAAAACAAGCATTTTCATGAATTTAATTATTTTATGGGGTGAATGAAAGTGGTAGAAATACAGTAATGCAGGGTAAAACTTAAAACAAGGTTTATAATTGAAGATAAATAAGGGAGAACTATTGGAATATTAGTTTGTTTCATTTACCTAAGAGATGAATATAAATAAAAAAAGCAACAATAAAGGGAAAAAACGGCTGACCTTAATCTAGCCTAAACTCTAGTCTGTGGTCTATTATATAGTCTGCTATATGGTATAGTCTGTAGTCTGAATTATAGTCAAGTTGTAGTCAGAACTATAGTCTAGTGTGAGGTCTGTTCTCTATATTCTGTTTCATAGTCTAGTCTATAGTCTAGTCTATAGTCTAGTCTATAGTCTAGTCTATAGTCTAGTCTATAGTCTAGTCTATAGTCTAGTCTATAGTCTAGTCTATAGTCTAGTCTATAGTCTAGTCTATAGTCTAGTCTATAGTCTAGTCTATAGTCTAGTCTATAGTCTAGTCTATAGTCTAGTCTATAGTCTAGTCTATAGTCTAGTCTATAGTCTAGTCTATAGTCTAGTCTATAGTCTAGTCTATAGTCTAGTCTATAGTCTAGTCTATAGTCTAGTCTATAGTCTAGTCTATAGTCTAGTCTATAGTCTAGTCTATAGTCTAGTCTATAGTCTAGTCTATAGTCTAGTCTATAGTCTAGTCTATAGTCTAGTCTATAGTCTAGTCTATAGTCTAGTCTATAGTCTAGTCTATAGTCTAGTCTATAGTCTAGTCTATAGTCTAGTCTACAATCTAGTCTATAGTCTAGTCTATAGTCCAGTCTAAAGTCTAGTCTATAGTCTAGTCTATAGTGTAGTCTATAGTATAGTCTATAGTATATTATTATAATATTTTTAAGTATTTTTATTATTTGTCTTTAGCCACTCGAGTTAAACAATTGTTTTTTATGATAAATGTTTCTATTATGTTTTTTTTCTGTAATAAAAACAAGCATTTTCATGAATTAAATTATTTTATGGGGTGAATGAAAATAGTAGAAATACAGTAATGCAGGGTAAAACTTAAAACAAGGCTTATAATTGAAGATAAATAAGGGAAAACTATTGAAATATTAGTTTGTTTCATTTACCTAAGATATGAATATAAATAAAAAAAGCAACAATTAAAGGGAAAAAAACGGCAGACCTTAATCTAGCCTAAACTCTAGTCTGTGGTCTATTCTATAGTCTGCTATATGGTATAGTCTGTAGTCTGAATTATAGTCAAGTTGTAGTCAGAACTATAGTCTAGTGTGAGGTCTGTTCTCTATATTCTGTTTCATAGTCTAGTCTATAGTCTAGTCTATAGTCTAGTCTATAGTCTAGTCTATAGTCTAGTCTAGTCTAGTCTATAGTCTAGTCTATAGTCTAGTTTATAGTCTAGTCTATAGTCTAGTCTATAGTCTAGTCTATAGTCTAGTCTATAGTCTAGTCTATAGTCTAGTCTATAGTCTAGTCTATAGTCTAGTCTATAGTCTAGTCTATAGTCTTGTCTATAGTCTAGTCTATAGTTTAGTCTATAGTCTAGTCTATAGTCTAGTCTATAGTCTAGTCTATAGTCTAGTCTATAGTCTAGTCTATAGTCTAGTCTATAGTCTAGTCTATAGTCTAGTCTATAGTCTAGTCTATAGTCTAGTCTATAGTATAGTCTAGTCTATAGTCTAGTCTATAGTCTAGTCTATAGTCTAGTCTATAGTCTAGTCTATAGTCTAGTCTATAGTCTAGTCTATAGTCTAGTCTATAGTCTAGTCTATAGTCTAGTCTATAGTCTAGTCTATAGTCTAGTCTATAGTTTAGTCTATAGTCTAGTCTATAGTCTAGTCTATAGTCTAGTCTATAGTCTAGTCTATAGTCTAGTCTATAGTCTAGTCTATAGTCTAGTCTATAGTCTAGTCTATAGTCTAGTCTATAGTCTAGTCTATAGTCTAGTCTATAGTCTAGTCTATAGTCTAGTCTATAGTCTAGTCTATAGTCTAGTCTACAATCTAGTCTATAGTCTAGTCTATAGTCCAGTCTAAAGTCTAGTCTATAGTCTAGTCTATAGTGTAGTCTATAGTATAGTCTATAGTATAGTCTATAGTATAGTCTATAGTATAGTCTATAATCTCGTCGATAATTTAGTCTACAGTCTGGACTATACTCTAGTATAGAGTCTGGTGAATATTCTAGTCAATAATCTGGCTATAGTCTAGTATATTGTCTAGTCTATAATCTAGTCTACAGTTTAGTCTATAGTTAGGCTATAATCTAGTCGATAATCTAGTCTATAATCTAGTATATATTCTAGTCTATAATAATCTAGTTTATAGTCTAGTCTATAGTCTAATCTATAATCTAGTCTATAATATAATCTATAGTCTAATTTATAATCTAGTCTATAATATGGTATATAATCTAGTCTATAGTCTAGTCCATATTTGGAAAATATTAATTTGTTTCAACAGATTTTTTCTTAAATTACAAAATGCATTAAGAATTTATTTCCTTAGTCTATAATTTTAATTATATTAAAAAAACTTCTGACACATAAAAATGCTGAAAAAAACACTATCGTCATCAGCAGAAACTCTCATAAACTACACACAGGTAGCAAGAGCAGCCAACAAATAAAATTAAAAAATACTACAGACTTTTGTTAAAATATTCTAGAGGAAGTTGTGAAACATATAGAAAATTAAAAAAAATAACATTTTGCAGCAACCCCCTCCCTTGGCACTCACTACAGACTCCAAAACAACTTTTGCCATGTTAAACAAGGCTAAAGTTTCTATATGAAAAAAGAAAACTGAAAAAATAATCAGCGAAAAAAACTGTAGATGCCAACTGATTAATGTAAAATGCAAATAGTTCAATCATAAAATTGAACGAAAGAAATGCAACAATTTTATTTTTTCTCTTTTCTGTGAAAAACTCTTTACAAAAGTTACAAAAACTCGAAAACAATATAGTTGAAAAAAGAAAAATGAAGCAAAATGTTTTTTTTTTTGTTCAAAACTTTGTTTTAACAAAATTTAATTAAATCTGACGATTAATTGAAAGTTTTTAAGAGAATTTGGAGATTTATGCAGGAAACAATAACGACAAAAAAACAAACTATGTATTGATTACGGAAAATAAAAAATAACAAATTTAAAGTTTATGAAAAAGTTGTTGAGAGTTTTCTATTGAATTGATATGGCAAGGCTACAATTTTTAATTGTAAATAGTGATAAAGTTTTTGACATAAATTTATTCGTAGTTAAAGTAAAACATTAAAAAAAAAGAATTGAACAGCAGCAAATTTTCTGAAAATGTATTCCTATAGTCTAATATGCAGTCTAGTCTAGTGTATAGTCTAGTCTATAGTCTAGTCTATAGTCTAGTCTATAGTCTAGTCTATAGTCTAGTCTATAGTCTAGTCTATAGTCTAGTCTATAGTCTAGTCTATAGTCTAGTCTATAGTCTAGTCTATAGTCTAGTCTATAGTCTAGTCTATAGTCTAGTCTATAGTCTAGTCTATAGTCTAGTCTATAGTCTAGTCTATAGTCTAGTCTATAGTCTAGTCCATAGTCTAGTCTATAGTCTAGTCTATAGTCTAGTCTATAGTCTAGTCTATAGTCTAGTCTATAGTCTAGTCTATAGTCTAGTCTATAGTCTAGTCTATAGTCTAGTCTATAGTCTAGTCTATAGTCTAGTCTATAGTCTAGTCTATAGTCTAGTCTATAGTCTAGTCTATAGTCTAGTCTATAGTCTAGTCTATAGTCTAGTCTATAGTCTAGTCTATAGTCTAGTCTATAGTCTAGTCTATAGTCTAGTCTATAGTCTAGTCTATAGTCTAGTCTATAGTCTAGTCTATAGTCTAGTAGTCATATAGTCTAGTCTATAGTCTAGTCTATAGTCTAGTCTATAGTCTGTCTATAGTCTAGTCTATAGTCTAGTCTATAGTCTAGTCTATAGTCTAGTCTATAGTCTAGTCTATAGTCTAGTCTATAGTCTAGTCTATAGTCTAGTCTATAGTCTAGTCTATAGTCTAGTCTATAGTCTAGTCTATAGTCTAGTCTATAGTCTAGTCTATAGTCTAGTCTATAGTCTAGTCTATAGTCTAGTCTAGTCTAGTCTAGTCTATAGTCTAGTCTATAGTCTAGTCTATAGTCTAGTCTATCGTCCTAGTCTATAGTCTAGTCTATAGTCTAGTCTATAGTCTAGTCTATAGTCTAGTCTATAGTCTAGTCTTAGTCTAGTCTTAGTCTAGGTCTATAGTCTAGTCTATAGTCTAGTCTATAGTCTAGTCTATAGTCTAGTCTATAGTCTAGTCTATAGTCTAGTCTATAGTCTAGTCTATAGTCTAGTATCTAGTCTAGTCTAGTCTATAGTCTAGTCTATAGTCTAGTCTATAGTCTAGTCTATAGTCTAGTCTATAGTCTAGTCTATAGTCTAGTCTACAGTCTAGTCTATAGTCTAGTCTATAGTCTAGTCTACAGTCTAGTCTATAGTCTAGTCTATAGTCTAGTCTACAGTCTAGTCTATAGTCTAGTCTATAGTCTAGTCTATAGTCTAGTCTATAGTCTAGTCTATAGTCTAGTCTATAGTCTAGTCTATAGGCTAGTCTATAGTCTAGTCTATAGTCTAGTCTATAGTCTAGTCTATAGGCTAGTCTATAGTCTAGTCTATAGTCTAGTCTATAGTCTAGTCTATAGTCTAGTCTATAGTCTAGTCTATAGTCTAGTCTATAGTCTAGTCTATAGTCTAGTCTAGTCTATAATGTAGTCTATAGTCTAGTTTATATTTTAGTCTATATTCTAGTCTACAGTCTAGTTTATAATCAGGTCTGTAGTCCAGTCTACAGTCAGGTCTGTAGTCTAGTCTTGTGTTCTACAGTTCATAAATGAACCTTCTTCAGGATTCATGTTGTTGCTGGAAATTTTACTTTAAAATCTATTTCGCATAAAATCTTACCTCCTTTTCATCCCTTAATATGCCCACCACTTGTAAAAACATGCGTTCAGCATCATTTTCAGGATCATAATTTGAGTAGGTGTCATCCACCAAAGTTATGTTGCCACAATAAAAATCATCTGAAGAAAATACTGAATCTCTATAATGAGGATGTTGTAGTTGTTGTTGTGACGACTGATCTTGCTGTTGATCAACACTAACAAGTTTATTGTTAACAGAATCAACACATTCCCCTGCCGCTCCTCTTACGGTATTTTGAAATTCTTGATCACGACTATGTAGTAATGTATCAGCATCAACTACAACATGTTGATAATCATTAACAACATGTTGCTTATTCAACAGTTCAATGTCATTGTGATCATGATGATCACGACCATGATCGTGTATATGTTGATTATGATGATCATCAATGTGTATGGAAACATTTGAGTGTGAACGTGGTGTGTGACTCATTTTTGATTGTTTCGAGAGACTGTGAGTACTCGAGGAAGAGGAGGCACTACTCAATTGTGAATAACTCAAACTGAGTTGACTACTCTCCGCAGCCGAGGTACGACTACAATCTTGTTCAAGTTCAGTGCCACCCGTGCCACTGTCACCACTCTGTGAACTGGCTGAATTGCCAAGTGTTTGTTGGTGGTTTTAAGACAATTTATGTTTGAGTTGGATTTTTGATGTTCCATTATGTGGTGTTGCATGGGTCCGGGTAGTTTAAGAGGTGGTAGCATGAGATTGAAATTTACCTCGCGGGAATCACAATGAGAACGACTGCCACTGCTGCTTATACTGCTGCGACTGCGTCTTTTCATAGAGACAAAGGGAGAGAGTAGACGTCTGCGTTGGGTGGAGAGTGATGGTGTTAGAGTTCTTCTAGCGGCTGCATAAATTTCCTCTTCATCATCACCATCTGCATCGTGGGGATCAAGGGCAGCTGCTGCTGCCGCCGCTAGAGTATGAGGTGGTTTGGCATAACGTTCCAACGACCTTGATTTATATTCCTCATTATGACGTTCACCAGCCTGGCGTTCTCTGCCTCTAGTTGATGCCTCAAAATTATTGGTTTATGTTTTTTATTACTGCCACTCGTCGATGAAGCCGACGAAGAGGTACGATACATTTTTCCATTTGTCTGTGGAGCATTTTTGCTTAGATCTCGGCGCATAATGTGTGTGTTTTCTATGATATTACTGCCCTGATCCATGGCATGTTGCATGTTGTTCTTGGCTATAATGGCATTTGCATGTTCTGTTGCTGCTGCCGAAGAGTGTTGTGAGGAAAACAGACGCATTGTGTCATAAGGTGGGGGTTTTTAGTTTTTTCTACTTTTTTTACTAAAATAAAAAAACTCCTGCTGATGATGATGACTTTTATGATGTTGGCCTTAAGCAGAGTTGTTGTTGTTTTTTATTTTTGTTTGTTTCTACTGATGAGTTGTTTTAATTTTTTGTTATTACCACTTCTGCTGTATTTTTTTAATATTTTTTTATTTTTTTGGTTTTAATCACTGTATTTATTATTCTTTTTTTTATTATTATGTTTATGTGCTGTATTTTGCTATTATTTATTAGGACCCTTTAGGCAAATGTTGTTGTGGCAGCACAAGTTTAAAACACTTCTTTTTTCCAACTTTTAAATGTTTAATCATTGGGGGGTTTTCTTTCATAGACAAGTTATAATTTTTCAATTTTAATTTTAAAACTACTGGTTTTTAAAGTTTAAAAAATTCTGTTTAAAAGATCAGATAATAGTTATTAAACATTTACGATGGCCAGGAAGTGGTTAAACAACCTGTTTAACCACTTCCAATATTACAATATTTAAAAAAAGGCTTTTGAATGGTTTCATATTTTTTAAACTGTTTGAAAGTTCTGCATATTTTGTTTTCCACTGAGAATTTCTTTTTACGTTTTTTGACAAAATTATTTTTTTGGATTTAGTTTTGAAGAAAGATTAAAAATATAAATTTTTTTGCTAAATTTTTGTAAAATAAAAAATTTTGTAAAATTTTCTTAAAATTTTCTAAAAACCAAAATATACTAAAAGTAGCAGATTTTAGGAGAATTAACTAAAAATAGCAAATCGTTTCGAAAATTCACTAAAAATAACAAATCGTTCCGAAAATTTACTAAAAATAGCAAATCGTTCCGAAAATTCGCTAAAAATAGCAAATCGTTCCGAAAATTCATTAAAAATAGAACATTTGTTAGGAAATTTACTGAAATAGCAAGATATTCCGAAAATTTATTAAAAATAGTAAATTGTTTCCGAAAACTTATTAAAAATAGCAAATCGTTCCGAAAATAGCAAATTGGTTAGAAAATATACTAAAAATACCTAAATATTCCGAAAATTTCCTAAAATTGGTTAGAAAATTTACTAAAAACAGCAAAGATTCAGAAAATTTACTAAAAATAGCAAATTGTTTCAAAAATTTACTTAAAATAGCAAAATGTCCCGAAATATACTAAAAATAGCAAAATGTCGCGAAATTTACTAAAAATAGCAAAATGTCCCGAAATTTACTAAAAATAGCAAAATGTCCCGAAATTTACCAAAAATAGCAAAATGTCCCGAAATTTATTAAAAATAGCAAAATGTCCCGAAATTTATTAAAAATAGCAAAATGTCCCGAAATTTACTAAAAATAGCAAATTTTCAGAAAAATAGCAAATTTTCAGAAAATTTACTAAAAATAGCAAATTTTCAGAAAATTTACTAAAAATACCAAATTAAAAAAAAGAAAATTTTCTAAAAATACCACATTTTCAAAAAAAAATTCTAAAAAAAGTTTCAAAATTTTGAAAGGCTTTGATAAGTTCCCAAATCTCCCTTAAAAATAATTTAAATATTTTGTTTACAACTAATAATTCTGAATGAGTTTACTGACCCTTAACTCACTCGTTTTATTTATTAGTGTTATAATTTCATTTAAATGTTGTTACTGTTGCCTGCTCGATAATTATAAAATTTTATTTGTAAAATTTTTTAATTTTTCATTTAAAATTCCTTTAAGCACACACACACTTCATTTCATTTCATATAAATTTTTAATTTATATTCCATTTAAGTTTTACTATACTTGTCTTTATTTTCTTACTTTTTTTTTGTAAATTTTATCTACTTTGAAAATCTTTATTTAAACTACGTTTTCTTAATGTCATTTTAAATTCAATTATAGTTTTTGCATACAAAAATATATAATTTATCAACACAGAAAAGAAAAAAATATATATATTCTACTCGTGTTTCCGACAACTTTATCTTTTATTTTTAAACTTTTTCTTTACATTTCTCTCTTGTCTTTGGTAAAATGAAAGTGAAATATTCGTTTTAATTTTTTTTTTTGGTAAAATTATAAAAACAAAAACTATATTTAAGAAATTTTAAATATTTTTGGCACGTTTTTTTCTGTTTTCAACAATATCATGTAATTGTTAATAAATATCAATGTTGCAATTTAGTTGAAATGCAAAAAAATATTAATGATAAAAATATACATATTTTCTGAGAATTAAATGAAATAAATTATAAATTTTAGCAAAAATAACTAAATTTCTGAAAAATTATGAAAACAAGACAAATTTTCAGAAAATTTACTAAAAATAGTTTTCAGTAAATTAACAATATTTCAGTTTTTATTCAAGACTGTAAATAAAAATGTCAAAGTTTTCTTTAAAATTAAAAATGTCATATCAAAACAGCTTACAACATTTTAAATTTGTCATTGAGTTCATGAAAAAGGTACATATATACCTTTTAAATAAAAGTACTAATTTGCCTACTTATGTCAGTTTTAAAATACTCTGTCATAACTCTACATTTTTAAACTTATTAAAGGCAGAGTACAAAAGTCAATTACTTATTACAACTTTATTGTCTGTCATTAACACAAAAACAAAAAAACAAAATATATTTCAATTTTTAATACGCAGTCTTCGAAACAAAAAATGTTTCAAACTAAACGTACGAAACAGAAAAAAAATGTCACAAATAATACAACTCTGCATATTTAATGAGTTACATTGTTTAAAAATTAAGTAATTCGTTTTATTATTTTGTATTGTTGTTGTTGTTATTGTTATTGTTAATGTTGACATGTTCCATTATACTTTTACATTCTGAAAACATAAGAAACTGGGAGTTTAACATGAAAAACAACAGAAAGTCACAAAAACACTTAAAGAATTTCTTATGTAAATAAAATGTAAAAATATTTCACAAATTTTTCTTCTTTTCACATTATAAGGAGTAAAACCAAAATTTAAGAAAAAAAATTTATTGTTGAAAATAAATATTTACATGCGACGACGTCAACGACGAGTAAGTATGTTGCATTATGTGTGTTAATGAGTTTGTCAGGTTGTCTTCACCATTCGAGAGATTGACAGTCAAACAGGCAGAGTTTTACTCACATTAATGTTTTGCTTGTTGTTTTTAGTTTGTCATTTTAAAAAGGTGCTAGTTGCTTGCTTACACTTCTCTCACTCACTCTGACTGCTTGATTGTTTGTTTTTATTTTATAATGACATCTGTCAAAAAGTTATAAATGTTATTGTTGTTGTTGTGTTAGAATGTAAATATATTTTTGGGTACTTTTTGTTTAAGTTACATAGAAGAAGGATATTAAAAGTTTTTTTTTTCTTTTCTCTCCCAAAAGTTGGATATTTACGTTTAAGTTTCGAAAAGCTAACAAAAAAATGGCAACTGTAGAGTTTTTTGTAATTTTTATCAAATACTTTGAAACAAAAGGGCGGATATAAAGGTAGTAATTGATGAAAAATGCCAAATTTATAGAAAATTTATTGAAAATAAGTTAATTTTCATAAAAGTTACTAAAAGTAGCAAGCAATTTGGAAAATTTACTAAAAATAGCAAATCTTTTAGAAAACATGCTGAAAATGGCAAATCTTTGAAAAAATTCACAAAAAATAAATCTTTTAGAAAATTTACTAAAATTAGCAAGTCTTTTAGAAAATTTACTAAAATTAGCAAGTCTTTTAGAAAATTTACTAAAAATAGCGAATCTTTTAAATAATTTACTAATAATAACAAATCTTTTGGAAAATGTACTAAAATTAGCAATTCTTTTAGAAAATTTTCTAAAAATTGCAAATAGTTTTAAAAATTGACTAAAAATAGCAAATCTTTTAGAAAATTTGCTAAAAATAGCAAATCTTCTAGAAAATTTACTAAAAATAGCAAATCGTTTAGGGAGTTCATTAAAAATAGCAAATCTTTTTAAAAATTTACTAGAAACAGCAAATCTTTTTAAAAATTTACTAAAAATAGCAAATTTTTTAGAAAATTTACTAAAATTAGCAAATCTTTTAAAAAATTTACTAAAAATAGCAAATCTTTTAGAAAATTTACTAAAATAGCTGATCTTTTTGAAAATTTACTAAAAATAGCAAATCTTTTTGAAAATGTACTAAAAATAGCAAATGTTTTAAAAAATATCCTAAAAATAGCAAATCTTTTAGAAAATTTACTAAAAATGGCAAATATTTTTAACAATTTACTAAAAATAGCAACGCTTTTAGAAAATTTACTAAAAATTGCAAATCTTTTAGAAAACATGCTGAAAATAGCAAATCTTTTAAAAATTCACTAAAACAGCAAATCTTTTAAAAAACATGCTGGAAATAGCAAATCTTTTAAAAAATTCACTAAAAATAGCAAATCTTTTAGAAAATGTACTGAAAATAGCAAATCGTCTAGGAAATTCACTAAAAATAGCAAATTTTTTAGAAAATTTACTAAAATTAGCAAATCTTTTAGAAAATTTACTAAAAATGGCAAATCTTTTAAAATATTTACTAAAAATAGCAAATCTTTTAAGAAATTGACTAAAAATCTCAAATCTTTTAAAAAAGTTTCAAAAATTAATTAGTTATAATCTTTTAGAAAATTTAAAAAAAATAGCAAAGCTTTTAAAAATTTTTCTAAAAATAGCATGTCTTTTAGAATGTTTACTAAAAATAGCAAATCTTTTAGAAAATTTTTCAAAAATTCACTTAAAATAGCAAATTTATAGAAAAAATAATAAAAATTGTAGAATTTTACTAAAAATAGTAACTTTTCAGAAAATCAGTTTGCTTCACATGCCAAGCATTTATAGCTTTTATTATAGTTCAGTTAACCACTCTATTAAAATAATCTTTAGACATTTAATTTATTCCACAGAATTTAAATTGAAAATCTATAAAATTTATTAAAAAAATGCTAAATAAGTAAGTGAAATAATAATAAATAAAAAACATATAAACGAGTCAATAAACAACATTGTGA